ACCATAACCCATCAAAAGTGTGGTCGAGTCGGATCATAACGAACCTGAGTTGCATTGGATATGGTTGAATACCGTTCCTAATACGTAGACAGCGTCATACACCCTGGAGCTTTACATTGAAGGACAGAAAGTACAGGTAGAGATCGACGCAGGAGCATCTGTGACAATAATTGGGGAAAGTGCAATAAAATCAATGCATCCCTTATCCTCTTGAAGTTCCGTTCTTCGTAAACTGGCGAACCCATACGTGTTTTTGGCAGACTTTGTAAAGGGACAATACGGCGACAGGATACAAAAGCTTCCTGTATATGTGATCGCTGGGAATCACCCAAACCTGCTAGGAAGGGACTGAATGCATGCATTTTCGGATACACTGGATGTGGTAAAAACAGTCACTGAGGTCTCAGGACTTGAAGCCTTGCTAAAACAACATTCCCCTATTTTTCCCGATGAGTTTGGGAAATTAGAAGGATTGCAGGCTACGATAAAATTAAAGGAGTGCGCACGGCCAAAATTCATCAAAGCTCGCACACTATGATACGCTAGGAGGACAAAAGTCGAAGAAGAATTAAATCGCTTACAAATCCAGGGTATTAGTATTCCTGTAAAGTTTTCAGACTGGGAACACCAAATGTGCCTGTGACCAGACCTGGCGGCCCTGTACGGATTCGCGGTGATTAGAAAATGACCGTTTATCATATATATATATATATATATATATATATATATATATATATATTTGCAACAGTCTATGAATAGACATTGCACCATCGGAAACCATGGAACTCAAAACAAGGTACAGAAATAGTAAAAGAAAACACAAGCCTACATGCTAGTCAGGTACCCATTATCTCACATTGATGATTTGTAAGCAACACTAGCAGGTGGTGAGAAGTTTACCAAGCCTGATCTCAGTCATGCGTACTCGCAGTTAGAGCTCGATGAACCGTCGGGACAACTTACAACGGTTACCACAAATATGGGACTATTTCAAGATACTCGCTTGCCTTTCGGCATAAGTTCTGCTTCCGGGAACTTCCAAAAGGTTTTTGACGACCTAATAAAGGACATACTTTTTGCATGTGCCTATCTGGATGATATTCTTATTTCCGGGCGCCCTGACACTCGCTGTCGTACTCGAGCGTTTGGAACGGAACGGAGTTAGACTGAGAAAATCCAAATGTGAGTTCCTTCTTCTTCCGTTTGTTACCTTGGATACCGGCATGTTAAACACGGGCTATGTGTTCTATATGACAAAGTGAAACGAATTTTAGAAAGCCCCGAGCTGAAGAACATTGATGAACTTCGTTCGTTCTTAGGCATGCTGTCCCATTATCGCCGATTTTTGCATAATGCATCTACCGTATTGTCTACATTAAAAAACTGTTGCACAAAAGTGTTGGGGTTCCAGTCAGCAGAATGCCTTCAATAGGGCTAAGCAGGCTCTCACTTCACTACCAAAGTTAGAAAATTATGATTCCCACAAGCCACTCATCCTTCAATGTGACGCGTCTCCATGTGGTCGGGGCTGTCCTGTGCCACCCCATAAACGATGGTTCTTTACGTCCCATAGCATTTGCATTGCGCACTCTACAAACTGCAGAGAAAAACTACTCACAACTTGAGAAGGAAGTCTCGGCTGTAATCGTCGGGGTAAAGAACTTAAGGGGGAATTTCTTTGAGCTGCACGCGGATCACAAACCCTTACTATGGTTAATGGCAGAAACCAAGGGCATTCAGCAGATGGCATCACCCAGAATACGGCGATGGGCTGTAACCTTGAGTGCTTACAGTTACAAGAATGTTTACATTACGGGTGTCAACAACCACACAGCCGATGCACTGAGCCGCCTGGCAATAACTGAAACTACACAGGAACATAATATTCCGTTTGAACTGGTTGATTTGATGCAACATCTAGACCCAACGCCAATACGAAGTGCAACAATCCATCAGTGGACAGACCGAGACACAAAACTGTCAATGGTGAAACGATTTTTGACGGTGGGTTGGCCCTCTGAATAAACAGCTGATTTACAGACGTTCATGATTCGCAGGAACGAACTCAGCCTATTCGACGGTCTCAATTGGCTATCGTGACGATAGTTAAAAGTTACACGAATCAAGCGAGTGTCTCCTACAACAAAACAACATTTAAGCGCTGGTGAGAGTTCGGGATCCGATTGACTGGTTATAGTAGTGTGATAAAAGTCATAATGCGGGAAAGATTAATTTGCTATTGTATGGCACAGAAGGCGTAGAGGCTTATTCTCCAAGATAGGAATAAACTGGTCAAACAAATAGATAATGTTAGGATTTAGGCAGTAAGTATAAAGAAATTAGTAATATACCTGGGGGTAGAACTAGAATGGAGCACAATTAGAAACATTTTCGATTGCAGATAATGTTAAAATAACCTATGAAGGGTGTGCAGTTAATATAGATTGTAAGTATCTTTTAGTAGACTAAATAAGAGAGGACACAACGTAATAGCAAATGGCAGATCCGTCGTTAAAACCAGCTAAAGCAACCAAAGATATAGAAAATTCTACTGTAGAAAATACACAGCGTGTTCGTAGCCAAATTTCGTTGAAATCGAGGGTGTATTGACATGTTTGCATAACATCAATTGTTGGGACACCGCCATATTTAATGGCAACCTATCGTAAGGCTTGACAGCTGTACAGCTGCTTCCCTATAAATGACTTCTGACCTGGAGTATGCCAACGACATTGCTCTTATCTGTGAAAGCCCCAAAAAGTGCCAAACATCACCGGAGAATTTATTACTGACTTTCAATCGTTACGGGCTACGCTTTGTACCCCCGAAATCTAAAACCCTACTCTAGGATTAGCAAGGATACATCGCTGCAGTGACCCATAGTCGTGATAAGTTAAAAGTAGTTCATTAATTCAAGTATCTAAGCTGCTTTGTCAGCACCTGGAGAGTAGAAGATGAGATCACGAACTTATAGCAAAAGCTCGAGTCGCTTTTGCCGATCTCCGCCACCTAGGGCTTCGACGCGACCTCACTATCACCCTGATGAGCAGTTTACAATGCAGCAAGGCGCTCCGTTTAGTACTTATGTACGGTTGAGAAGCCTGGAGCAGCAGGTCGATAGACATAAAGAGGCTAGTTACGTTCGATCATCGCTTCCTTCGCAGTTTAGCTCATATCTGCTGGGAACACCGAGTAGGCAATAATTGTGTTTGGTGTGTGTGTGCCTGATTCAGGAAGAGTGAGTGAACCCCTCAGCACCGTTATTTTATGCACCATGTTCCGATGACTGGGCCACGTGGTGCGCCTGCGGCATACCGACTCCTGAGACGTGCATTGTTTGGGCGACCGGGGAGGTGGATGGAAGAAGAGGAGAGGAGGCCAAGCGATGACCTGGCCAGGAAGAATGAGGGCCCTCACCTCGAACTTGGCGTCGGTTGGTGTGTCCCGAGTGCCGAGCTGGGGTCCGAGGGACAAGGAACAAGTCCAACTGGATACACTTGTTGACATGATGAAGAACTTATTTAGTGGTGCTTGTGTTGTAAGCTCCTTTAACCCTCTTCATTCCGCTTAGCCTCCTTTTCCAACAACCATTTCCCCCTCCATTATATTTCTTTTTGATAGCTTTTTTGCATTCTGTAGTGTCGCCTATCTCATTTTTTCATACATCTTATTGTACTGCACAAAATATCTGGAGTGTGTTTCTCACCTTCAGATAGCGTGTAATGCCGATGATAGTGATAGAGTGCTAGTTGGAGCACCTGGTGGTATGGACTTAACAGCAGCAACACAGCTGGAAAAACGTGTACGTCGATCAACAGTGGTGATTTGACAAGAGAACAGGGGTATTACACCTTTCCAAGCCGCATTGCGTCACGCAGACAGTAAACATGTTGATCGCTACGTTGAATAATGAACACTTGCTACCCGTTATAAGGAATGACAGTGACTGCAAGAAAAAGTGTACGTCCCCCAGGAGAGACGACGCTTTATGCTGACACAGTGCATTCTCGCTGATAATTCACGCACAACTGATTGACACTATCGCAGAACAAGAAGGAAACAAAGACTCGAATCAAGGGAAGTGACAGCTCAGTTTATTATCAGGTGATACTTTCGACAAGGATGGCTCTGAGAAGGAACCTGCACTTTTAAACGTAGTGGAGGTCGTGAAAACGACGTTCCGTTTGCATTAATCCAAAAGTGAAAACACTAATGTCGGGACAACTTTCTCTAGCACGTTGTTAACGATGCCACCTCAAGTGGAGTGAATGAAGTTGGATCAAGAAAAATGTTTTAGAGAAAGACAGGCTAATTGCGATGTAAACTTGTGATGTCGGAAAATTCATCATGCAAGGGAAAACAACAAGTACAACTATTGTTGTACTTAGGTTGGAGTAATTTCGAAGAATACTCATCACGGTCAAACTCGGTCAGGAAACCACCGCACCTACAGGAAAGCATCTGATGAATGTACTGCCCCACTCGGAACTGTGCAGCATCGCGCAGCGACTTTGTCCGGCGAGGGCCTAGCACTTGCGACCGTTAACTTTCGAGCCCATGGCCAAGACGACTGGCACACCGGGGATGTCAGCAACCGATGCAACTGCGTAGCAAGTGATGAAAGAACAATACCATTCGCGCTTCTAAAGTGCAAAAGACAGAGCCAATCCTCAGATATACGAACTATGTTGCTAATATGCCATCACCTAATACCATTCCAGGCTAACTGTAGAAAATAAGGTAAATGTAAGGAGGCGCAGTGGTGGAGCTGCGCTTTATCACAGATAGTTACGTGGTCAAGGGGATACGACCGTCACTAGCACCTCGATGACTGCCCAATGACGGATTGCGGACTTAGTTCCTCCCCCAGGTACCTTGTGTACATAATGTCGACTGGCCCAGAGAGAATGAAGGGTAGTCCAGTGCCCCCTTGATAAGAATGGATGTTAATCTGTAACAGTTGCGAGGAATAGGATTAGAAGTCAAAATGACAAGCATACGTGAGAGAACTGCACGGACTTGATTTATCAGCTGCAGCATTGAAGTGAGACTGAGAGATAGCAGGTGTAGATTCGGTAACGACGGGTTTCACATCTTCCAAATCACTGGTATCGCTGGAGCTCTCCGGTTCTATGAGAAAAGATAAGAAAAGGGGGCAAAAAAGAGGTGAATATCAAAGTAGAAAGAATCTAACAAGTAGTGGAGGGAAAATACTGATGACGCAAAGGCCCGGGGTACAAATCCTCTTTGGTACATGACAATGTGTATATTTTCCACTATATGTTTATGAGCCTTGTGATGAAGATACGAGGGTGTGCAACGCATCACATATGTGGTCCGGAGACTCCATTATGTGAACCGACGCAATCCGTTAAGGCTGCGGGTCTGCGCAAGGGGGAGGAGATGCTGATTTCCTCCAACACTTGACTCCCCTAGCGAGACATATTTGTAAAAAGTTCATGGGACAACTCAACTACTTCCTATACAAGAGTAGAACGGATAATCCATCACAAAAGAGTAGTCAGTAGAGAGTGGACGAACTGGGGTTGCGTTGTGTGTCGGACCTTTCGCTAGCCACTGAGATGAATGATGCTGTATCGCGCATTCGCAAACAGATGACGAAAAACCGAGCTTGTAAAAGCGGTCATGTTTCGCACTGAGCCGAAGCATATATTACAAGCACAGTGATTTGTGGATGATTAGCTGAGAAAGATGAACAGTTGATCTATTCTCAGCGTCATCGATTAGTCCGTTGGATGGAACATTTTGAAGAGCAATTCAGCAGGCCTGCTGCGACACTGTCACTTGCCGATGCACCTGAGCGGACCTGAGAAGTAGATGTCGCACCTCAGACTTTAGAAGAGATTCGATATGATCTCGCCGTGTTAAAACGAAACACGGCTACAGGGCACGACGACCTACCCCACCTTTGCTGGAAGATAGTGGTCTTCTTTGTTGACTGGAATTCCTTCTCTTTTTAACACTATTTGAGACACTGAAGAAATGCCTTTAGACTGGTGACCATCAACTATCGAGCCCATCTTCAAAAAGCGTCAGCGTACTTTGTGCGAAAATCATCCAGGCATTAGCCTTATTTCCAAAACTTTCACAAGTATCATTCTTCAACGACTTACTAGTTTCCAAGGGGACCAAATCACTGAAACCTAGGCTAGCTTCCACCCTGGCCTTGGTTGCATCGACCAGTTACTCTTCGCTGTTTTAGAGCAGAGGCACACATAGAGACGACCAAGTATGGTTGTTTTCCTTGATTTGAAAACCGCCTTCGACTCTATTGACCGCACCAGCTTGTGGCACTGCCTATCTATGAAGATCGTACCAACTAAACCACTTTCCATTCTGAACTCCCTCTACCATGATTCACGGGAAACTCTCCTGAGTTCCCCACGACAAGTGGATTTTACCAGGGTTGGCCTATATGTCCTTTCCTCTTCAACTTTGTGATCGAAATGATCATGATTGACTCTGTATTTTCAGGCTATTCTGGAGTGGAAATTCTGCCAGACGATCGGCTGACAAACCTGGAGTATGCAAACGACATAGTTCTCCTTGGGTCGGATGCATTGCTCATGCAAATACCACTGCACGCATCGGAAGGTACTTTGCACCTACAAAGTGCAAAGTGCTGTTGCAGGACTGGGTCGACACCCCTTCGGATTTAGCTATTTCGGAACAGCCACTGGAAGTGGCGGATCAGTTCCATTACCTTGGTAGCTGTGTCTCCTCTGGTGGTCAAATCACTGAAGTGGTTACTTCGCGTATCAGCAAGGCCAGCGTGGGTTTCCAGAAACTCAACCATCTATGGAGGTGGTGGAATATCAGTTTGTCAGTGCGATAAGGCTAGTGTTACTGTATAAATAAATAAATAAATAAATAGTTTATTCTCGTCATTGCGAGGCACACTATCAAGGGCGTGATCATGGTAATACAGACATGTATGATCGGCAATTGCACAAATTAGTATATTTTGACAAATAGCATAGGAATGTATGTGTCTGTTGACATGTGAAAGTATGTTTATGTCTATTTGAAAGTAGCCATGTTGTGTGATTAGACAAATGCGACTCTGTGTGTTTTTGTTCGTTTGGTTCGCCATCAAAGGGGGAAGTCAATGGAACGCTTCGAATCGGATGACCTTCGTGATGTGTGAATGATCCTCCGGAAAAGGGAAGAGGCAGAAACTTTATTTAGTGGCGAGTCACACCCGCCACATCACAGTGTTGTTAAACGGATATCTGTGGTTTTTTATAGGGAGAAGGCTTGCCAGGCGAAAACCCACCACGTCCTGGAACACTGCTGCTGAGTCATTTGCTGGAACGGGATTTACCCGAACCACCCAGCTGGCACCACGGGGAGGTTGATCGACTAGCCAGTTCGCAATGAAGATATTAAAGGCTTGGCCGTGTTTGACCATCGGTGCTTACGAAGTATTGCTCACGTCTGGTTGGAACACCGGGCGAGAAACGCTGAGGTCCACCAGTTAGCTTTTGACAAGAAACCTCGTGCCTCTTTCGAGTGTTTGAGAAATCTTAGCCGCTTGCGTTGGCTAGGCCATATCCTCCGTATGCGCGTCGATCGGCTTCCTCGGCGTGCATTATACGCCGTGGCAGAACCAAGTTGGGCTAAACCTCGAGCTGCCCAGTCCATGACATGTTATCGAGGCATGGAGACATTGACTGAGACGTGGTCAGGGGGCCTCAAGAAGTTCCCCACAAATGGTTGGAGACCCTGTCAGGCATGGCGCAGTCACGAAGTCAGTGGCGATTCTGCATCCGGCTACTTTCATCTGGTAGTTAATTTCCGTTCCACTCTGATTAATCTAACGCATTTCATGCCTGCTTTCAGTTTCTTTACATACTATTTGCACTCAACCCCACTATCTTGGTGTTGTTATTTATTGTTATTTTTATGGTGTGAGTCGTGGCAACTGGATCCACTGCATTTCGGTGCTCGGATTATTGTTGATCGACTGAAATGAACTCATGCTTTAGTTGTGGTAAACTCTGCATGGTCAAAATACACATGCAAGTAACCGAATACCAAGCAGTGTGGGGAAAAACTCTTTACCCTTGAGTGATAGCCTATATGAGAGGTAAACTGGCCCGAAATAAGGCAACAGTGACCGAGCTAGCCAGGATACAGTTGAAAGCAAATCAGGGTCAGGATGGAGGCTGCACATCGTAATCCATTCCCATAACTAGTAAGACTAGCCATGCCCATCGCTACAACTTCATCCATCACCAATTAGAGAGAGCAGAGAAGCACGATATCGATCAGGTGGAGACGTACTTGGGTCGGGGAATAGTTCAGTTCAGTTGAACAACTACGATCCGGGCACCGAAACGTGACGGATCCAGTTGCCAGGACTAACGTCACCAGAATAACAACCAGAATAACTAGCAAAGGCAAGAATAACAGGTTAAATACAAATAAAACGTAAGGAAATAGTAACCAAAACAGAAATGCGCAAAGCTAATCGGGATGGAATGATAATGATGAAAAGAATGCAGGGTCACTACTGGCTGCGTGACGACGCCATATCCCATAGAGTCTTCAACCACTGGTGTGGACCACACTGAGGCCCCCGTGTGCGAAGACCGCGAGTGCTAGTCTGACTGTCTCTGTCAGTTTCTTCAAGCCCCTATGCCACGTCATTGACTGGTATACTTCGCGGTTTCGCATAACTTGGTAGAGCCACGGTGCATAATGGACGCCGAATACGCCGGTCAAAAAGCACACGGAGGACATGACCTAGTCACTGTAGGTGGTTCAGAGGCAACAGAAGGCATCTTGACAAAGAACAACTGGCGGACCTCATCATTGCTCACCAGATCTTCCCACCAGACGTAAGTGATACTCCAAAAGAATCCGTAATTAAGCACGGCCGAGTGTTTATTTTCCTCAATGAGAACTGAACAGGTATTTGATCCATATATTAAGACCGGTCTTGCCGCAGCTTTATAGACCTTACTTTTCACGGAGAGGCTGATATCCCGCCGTCTCCATACATGGTTGAGTCTCTGGAAAGCCAAACCGGATTTGCTGATACGCGAAGTAACTTCCTCAGTGATATGACAATCGGAAGTGACATATCTACCAAGGTAAGTGAACCGATTTACCAGTTCCAGTGGCTGTTCACTGATAGCTAAGAGCCATGGCGCATAGGTGCAGTATTGCAACAATACCTAGAACTTTGAAGGTGCAAATCATATCCCTAAGCATGCAGTGCTAAGTGTCAGTCCACTCAGTAGTGCTTGCATAGCCACTGCGTCAGACCCAAGGTGGGCTATGTCGCCCGCATACTCAAGGTTTGTCAGTCGGTCACCTGGCAGAACTTGCACCGGAGTAGTCTGAACAAATGGAGTCATCCATAATCACTTCGATCACAAAGTTGAAGAGAAAAGGAGATATAGAACAAACCTAGCGAACCCCACTTGTTGCACGGAACCCAGGAGACAGTTTCACGTAAACCCTTACATGGCCTTGGGAGTCACGGTGGAGAGACTGCGGAATGGAAAGGAGTTTCCTCGACACCGTTCACGGATACGCAATACGACGAGCTGGCTGGAGCAACAGAATCGAAGGCGGCTTTCAAGTCAAGGAAAAACATCATAGTCGGTCGACTACACGTTTGTCTCTGCTCCAGCATTTGACGAACAGTAAATATGTGATCGATGCAACAGTCAGGAAGTGTTTCGTTTCATGCCGAATCTCTTCCAGAGTGAGAGGTGTAAAATCAACATTCCGCGTCGGCTTAGGTGAATAATAAACAGTAGTGCCACAGCCGGTTTGTTGAACTGCTCTCCAACATGTTCCGCCCAACGGGCAAGTCGACGAGACAGAATGGAAGAAGCTGGGAATAATAAGTAACGTATCAGATATACGCCGTAACGAAACTTCGCGCGCGGGCTGAGGATACTGCGAGAATGCCTACCCCTACGCGGATTCGAAACGGGGAACTTATGGTTGCAGAGCAGGTGCGCAGACTACTCGGCCACCGGCCGACAGAGCGGGGAATACTGAACATCAAAACGAAACTGTGATCTAGTGACTTCACCAAGAATTAGATTAAGCCACGAGATATATGTAACGCTCAGTTCATTTGATTGTGAGATCGCATCTTTTCTTCCGCCCTCTACTTAAGCAGTTGATCTATCAGGTTGTTTGCTGCGCTGTCCGGTCATTCTGTAGAGCGCATGTGCTAGTCTTCTTTTGAATTACTGTGCCCTCCTATCTGTTTGAGGCTGGACTACTTGGCTTCGTTCCACGTCGACCTTTATTGTGTTGACCGCGGTCGCTCATTCGTTAAAGTTGAAAACCGTTGAGGTATGACTTTTCAATGTTTTCATTTGTGTAAATAGCACCATAGATTAGCTCCGGCTTTGTCTTGTCAATTTTCTGATGGTCTACAAGTTACGTTCCAAGCATTTTGACGCTTACAGTATAAAGCTATCTGATGGTCATACAACGCGGAAAATGAGAACGTGATCCGCCGTTAAATATAGAAGGAAATGGAACAGACCAGAGGTGGTAGTCGAGGAAACATAAGTGCCCATGAACAGCATCAAGCAAAAACTAACTGACTCAACTATCCATTTCTTAAGTTGCCGCTGATTCGAAAACCATGGTCCTAATTCAGATAGAAATAGGTTCGTGGCTTCAAAACAATTCCACCCCTTTGTACCAAGGCTGGCGGGCCCATGAGTTAGGGGGTTGACGACAATGAAGTCTCACACAATCGATAGAATACATCCGTTGACAGTGTGATTTTAGTCTGGAAGAAAAATCGGAACGACTCTTCACCGAACCCCGAGGGTGACGGATGAATCTGTGAGCAAATGTTACGTTAGGATGACACCAACAGATAAAGTCAGTTCAACGAATAGAATCACTCAAAGTAATGAGAGTAGTTCTAAGTAGGATAACGCGCCTACGCAGCTGCACCAAGAATTCAAAATGACCGGTCTAGTAGCCCGTGCCACCAAGCCGGTAGTCGTAGTGAATGAGCTCGGCGCATACTCGACTGCACTACTGCCTGTACAATGGAGTCGAGAAGCAATATGGCTATCAAACTGATCAAAGCAATATCGACGCTGCGTCCGTGAGGCTTCAGTAACGGAAGCAAAGTCCGAAAGAAAACAGACCAATGAACACAACGCACATCAATTTACAATAAGGCGAATGCTTTTATATAAGCCCATGTGCTGGGGTGATATGCGTAGTTACTAAAATCAGTCGAGAGAGAAAGCCGCTGTCACGAAGGAGAAGAAAAGACGCGTCCTAGGTCACAGTTTCCAATGACAAACATTTCAAGGCCATATCAATATCTACACTCGCTCCACGTAGAAACGGTATTCGCCTTGAACGCATCATGGACGGTGGATAGGTGAACATCCAAGGTTTCGAAGGGAGACAGCTAAAAAGAAAAACAACTAACTGGATGCGGCTGCTGGTGTACGCGGGGCTAGTGCATAACAAAGATGTGCAGACAGTAGTTGTTCAAACAGGAATAAAGCATAGAAACACTACTGTAGGATAAACCATTTGCCATTTTCGATCGTAGCTGAAGTTGAAGACCATGTGTACTCGGGAAATATGGATTATGTGGGAGTTGCAGAAAAACGAGACGAGCTATTCGGGTTATGCGAACAACAGATATGCACGTAACACGCAGTCGCCAATTTGTAAATCATGACATAGTTCGGACTTCAGTGAACTGGAACACTGGACGTGGATGTAGCATCAGCTGGAGTTCGGGTCAGCAATGACAAATCAAGCAATGGTGCTAATGATTTTGTTTCAAGGTCGGATGATACGGAGCGATCCTATCCATAGCGCACAACGAGTTTCGATCATCCGTTAAGGGGATGAATTTGAATTCGTAGCAGTAGCAATCACAGAAGGGACCCTGAGTTTAAACTGGAATACCTCAGAGAGTTTTAGTCGGTGCATCGAATATATTCAACCAGAGTGCCGGAACATCATCTTTAGAACGACTGATCGTGGGCAAAGGGAATACATGTGAAAAAAACGCATAATAAAGACGACATCAAAGTGATTATCACGAACAAATGGTAGACGAGCGCACACAATGACGTGGTAAGTTCAAAAGGACCATCGTAAAGTGAACGAGCAGGGAGCAACGAATTGGGAAGAAGACCCCATAACACGGGAATAACAGGTAGAAATCACAATCAGCCCGCAATTCAATACATGTTGTTGTGCGCAATCTCAGCCGAACCGGCCTAGCAGGCCAGCGGTGGTCAGGAGAAGCCAGTACTCTGGATACTCCGTAAATACCAATGATTACAGGAGATTACTAGGGATATTTGGATGGTATAAGTTGAAATCCATCACATATAGGCCCAATCAGACATTCATCACACGCCCGGAGAACCATTGTATGGCCGCTTTATCCTTTCGGTAATCGTCAGCAGTACGCTTTCTATCTGTTGCCAATCTGTGATTAAGACCAGTGGGCAACAGGGAAATAGCAAAGTCTGACAATTACATAATTGGACGTGTTATAGTGCCACTCACATCCAGGCCACTGCTGTGCAGACTTTCGCGTTCCGATGACGTAAACACTAGTCCACCTAAGGTTCATGTCTCCGGGTGCATGCAGTTTTATTTGCTATGTACATTATCAATCTGCGCAACAGGAAATCATCCGAGATCATTCACCTGCTGCAGCGACATGTGGAATGAGGACGCGCCAAATATCAAACAATCGGATGACCAGAATGTCATCAAGAATGAGAGTGCATAGCACTTAAGAACAGCAAAGATGAGGAAGCAATCCCGGAAGAGAAGTGGCTCACACACGTAGAGCATTGAGATGCTATGTAGCGAGACGTGATGAGAGAAGCCCACAAACCAACGTTGCTGTCAGATGTGCAGTTCCGAGCAATGAAATGGTGTACCTAACGAAATCATTCAGGGAGTGCTGGTACGCGCCGATGATCCATCTCCCGAAGACACCAAGTGGCAACTGATTACTTGTTGCAAGCCGCATGTTCATGTCAACGAACGATAGATGAAGAGGGAACGGCCAGAAGTTGTGCTGCACGCATACAAGAACATGTTGGCTAAAGGATTGAGTATCAGTGAATATACTGCCTGTCACGCGAATGAATGAACTTCGAGGCAAAGCGATGGGTTTCGTCAAGGTGAGAAAAAATGGCCACCTCAGAAGCACAAACACAACAGCGGCGATTACGTTCGGTTTAACTTACTAACTTCGCCAGTCGAACCGAAAAACGCAAATCCAATGTCACCAGTTGTGATGCATTTGAGTGGATAAAAGTTGATCGCCAAAAATGAGGTATGTACCTGGCTGGGGGATTGATTCCGTTGCATCAGTGAAAATGAGCCGATCAAAGAAAAGATGAGTTAGCCGCAGTAGGCGTTCTAGCCAGCCACGTACCCGAACCAGTTTTGACTCAAACTCGTCACGTAACCTTGGAGTGATCTTGGAAGAATCCATAGAAGAAAGTGTCTAAAGAGAGCAGAAGAAAGACAATTCGGCCCTAGTCCCACATCATAAATTCGGTTCAAACATCTGCTAAACAATTACGAAATCAGATGAATTGAAAGAAAGTAGGTATGGTTGGTTTCAGATGGGGAAAAATCACAAGCTGGAGGACCTCCGTCAGGTGACTGTCAATCAAGGGTCGGAGTAAACCGCACGCATAAAGCTGATACTGGACTGTTGGAAAAGAAGTGCACAAGAAATTATAGAGTACAGAAAAAGGAAGTTGTCAAACGATTAAAGCGGAAGATGATCATTTGCATCGAGTAGTTTCCTAGGTACTCCAAAGCAATGCACAAGCGTGCTGTTTGCATAAGTAATGACAATAACATAACGGTAATAATAATAATGTCCGTGTGAAAGACCTGGGAGCAAAAACGCAAAAGTTCAAACAAAAGGATTGCAACAAGGGTAATCAGCGTATTGAAAGACAAGCAGGTTGAAGCGATAGTCCGGACAGGAAAATGTCGTCTGCTATGCGACCGGGCTACGTCCGTTTCTAGCCATTGATATGCCAATCCCGAGGGCATCAACCAGGAGAGAGGTAAATTTCCCATTAACCACTCCCGGCGCAATTTTTGAGAATTCGCCCGACACGGTGCATTAGCAGTAACCTGCACGTAATTGTCATGGACATTGGGAAAATGTGACCGAGTCAGCACAAAACGTTCAAAGTTAACAAGCAGTCCAGTGAGGAGCAAGTTGGCTTGTGGGCAAACACCAAGTGGTGTACTTGGGTGATGCTCACTTGTTGCTCTCCCGTGTGAAAAACGATGTTGTGCGAACACGGGGGCATAAACATGACTAGTGATCGGAAGCGCTCAACATGAAATGGCGAAGAATCGGATCCACACAGTGGGACTGATCGTAGTGGAGTATCGCATTCCACACCATAAGCAGACAAGCTAAGATCACGGAGTCTCTACAGTGGCCCAAGCCATACCGATGTGCACGGTAACCTCGGCATTTGTCTAGATAAGTCAAATAAAAATAGCGATCTTGCGTTAAGAGGGAAACATTGCCACAATAAAAACTTACAAGAATCGATTTGTATTCAAAAATTTCTGAAACCACAAAATGAAAATGTGTGATCGATGGCGCCCTCTGTTGCGCTGGCAGCCAAATTGGCTCCCACTCATTCGGCTTGTTTAATAGATAGAGATTCACAGTGAGGTGAAGTGTTTGAGACCTTTAGAAGGAATCGCAACGCAAGGTGGATGTATTCATTACATTGGTATAGCATAATAAGCGGTTTTCCGGACAACCGAGTGGTTCCGGTTTTTCATCTCCAGCTAATCGCTAGGCGGAAATGTCTCATGACGTGAAGGGTTTTCACCTATAAAAAACCACAGATGTCTAGTTAACAAAACTGCGAGGTGGCGGATGTGATTCACCACATTGTATTTCAGCTGTTTGATAATGAAATTGTGGGGGATGATTCTGTTCGTTTGATGACAAACGGAACGAAAGGTGTGTGAACTAAGCAATCAGTCAGCGGCTCCCAGTAGAGGCGACTGCCTGAAATAGCCCCGCTGCCTTGCGGGAAGGGTAATCAGCAAAAAGGTTGGGGTAGTGTCCCCTAAGTGAACTCCTTAGAGTAAAGATCGCATTGACATCTCAGCTTGTTGATTACTGCTTCTGTGGTCGTAGTGATGAGTAAATCAATCTCAAAATAATCACTATAGTAACTTAATGTGAGTAGGTAATCTCTCCCATTGTCAGAAAATATATCCACTGCCTCCTTCTGCTACGGTCGGTCACCGACACCATGCAGCATCATTGGTTAATCGTCTGCCGGATTTAGTGTGAACGACACGCCTCACAATTTGACACATGATCTCTAATTTTACCCGTCATTCCTGGCCAAAAGATCAATTCCCTTGCTCGGTTAATTGTATGGCTGGCATTCAGGTGAGCGCGACGAACGTATTTCAGCATTTCTCTCTGGGGCAATGACGGGATCAGAATACGGCTTCCTTTGAACAGCAAATCATCATAGAGAGTTCATCCCGAAAATTGAAGTATGGTGTTACTTCCCTTGACAGCTGCTATTTCGTTTCTGGCCAACCACTTATAATAACGTCTCGAAAAGCTGCAAACGTTTCATCTTCCTCTGCATGGCGCCTTATTTCATTCAGACGATCTTCCGTCACTGCCGGATGTTGTACTAGATTTACTGCTTCGACCTCTTCTGGAGTATGCTCAGGTACCGGTAGATGAGCTCTTGACAGCGTGTTCGCGATGAACATCTGTGCACCAGGAGTGTATGCAATATCCACGTCCTACTTTTGAAGCCGGATAAGCATAGGCTGAAGGCGAAGAGGAATGATGTGCGGCGGTTTGCCGGCTATCGACACAAGCGGTTTGTGGTCGGCACGCACAGTTGTCTTTCTTCCGAAAGTAGAATCATTGAAATGATATATGACATAGACTACAGCGAGCATCTGTTTTTCAATATGCGCATAGCGCTGCTCGGTCATAGTAGGTACTCGACTACGTAACTAAAAGGTTTTCCATTCTGCAAGAGAAGAGCACCTATGCCGTTCGTGCTACTGTCACATTGTATTTCCAGTGACTGCGCTGGATCGCAACATCCGAGTACAGGCACGTTGCTGAGAAGGTTTGAACAAACGCATGTGAATATGTTGTATTCGAACTGCCATTGATCACGGATGCCGCCAATCCATGTACATATGTATAGCGAATGAATTCGACGAGGATGCTCAAGCAGCTTTTGTACGGGCAACTTAGTGCACGGGAGCGGCACACGGGTAAACTGAAATTACGTCACCAGGAGATGAACAAGGTGAGTTTATCACGAATTAATGTTGGGAATCAAAGGAAGAGTTGATCGGTACAAATTCCGTGGACTGATCAAAAGGGCAGTTGTCCAAGTGCAGGAGAAGGCACTATTGTACGCGGAGTAGAAGCGTGATGCGTCCGCCTCCATTCGATTTACTAATCCAGGCCAACATGGCAACGGATGTGGTACGTTTGCCTGCGTGATGAGTATTCTTGTATCTCAGGGGTTAGATGTTGATTGAGCTCCCCGGTGTGACTGCGCCTAAGGTGAAACTTGACAAGGTGCCTATCTGTCTATTACCCACCACCTCGTTGATACTAGCTCCAGGAGACAGTTGGTCGTTGCTGGAGGGAACGGGGTGCACCGTCCTCGTGACGGTATGTGTCGAGTCCAGACGGGCAGCTTTCGACAAACATCCGGTGTTGCACTTACTTACGAGCAGATTTAGAAAAAGAAATGGACAATTGTCATTGGTGGTAAGCTGGGATTAACTGAAAAAGCAGTCGCATGGTTAAGGTGTTAGCGACAGAAGAGAAAACTGCAAGGAATGGTAGGTCAAAACAGTAATCGTTCTTCTACGTTCAGTCGAGGGTAACTACATTTGTAACACATTTGCAACAGGGGCGGTAGTGTGTTACGTTAAGTGCGATGAGCTTGAGTTAGCTAACTAGTGGGGACAGGGAAAGTATGGCAAAGTCGGAAAATAATAATAGCTGCTGTTATAATAAATAAAAACACGGACTGGTGACACGCATAAACCTACCTTCAACCAACCAAGGAGGAGGGGCTTGTGCTTATCTCTGGCCACAACAGCCCGCTCTCGAGCTGACTCCTCCAGAAACTGAACCTCTTCTGTTCGCTGGACGGGTATGCAGAAATAGGTACTCCCGTCCACGGACCCTTTTGCACAAGGAATACGGATTTCAATGTCCGTAGAGCTGAGGCCTAGTCCACTCGAGGTACCGCAGAGACGCCCATGTGCTCGATGAACATCGCTGACTGGGGAAGTACGTGGGAGGCCAGTAGATGTTATACCGTTATCTTCTGTCGCGGCTTCTTCATCGTCGGTGTGGGAAATTGAGCAGAAAGGGTCGGGCACAAGCAATTTCAGAAGGCCAGCTAGCGCGTTCAAATTCTCTTCAATCCGATCACTGGATTCTAGAAAAAGGACAAAAAGGAGCATAAAAATGGTAAGGCTAAAAGGGTAGTTATAGCGTCCGGAGCAGTGCCAGCTCAATTAATCCCGAGAGCATGTCAGTAAAACGATCTAAGAAGCCCTAAGTCGTCAAAGATATGTAAAAGACAAATGTCCAGTGTCCACCTGCATCCCGCAACCGGCTTCATATTTCCATACACTCGTCGGCAGGAGAGATAGCAGGAATGCGACTCGAATAGAGAACATAGATAGAGTCAGCCAAAGCCTTTACCACTTATCCACCGAGTGACAACGGTTAATAGCCAAATGGACATAACTGTGAATCGAACCGCAGTTCGGATTGAAATGATGTGCTGCGAAAAGTGAAATAGCTACTCAATGAAACTAACTAATTTTGGTAATGCGCTGACTGTATAGCTGTTATATTTGTTAGGTGCTTGGACTGACTGGCACATAAATGCGATAACCAAGCAGCCGTGGTCGATGAATGTAGCAGGATAAGTATTCCCCTTTGGAATCAATCGCAGCCGAGCTGTGAGGCCTAATGGCCCACATTTGAACACAGTGGAGGAGCCAATGGTAAGGGTGACGATGTGAAGTCGAACACATGAACAACTTCAATCCGAAACTAAGCAAACTCATTAGTGACCAAACTCCACATACTTCGGCGACTTCCTTCCTGGTCCAAACGACATTGCAAGTGATTAAATTTGTCGTACTAACGAAACCGGTACACATTCGCTACCGCTGAACGTGTGACTACATACTCTATCACAGCAGTCTTTCTTGCATTGGATGATGCCTTTTAGCCGCATGGACCTGAGACACTACGTGGAGTCAAAAGTTGTGCTAGAGAAAGTTTTCGTCCCTGAACTCCAGAGCCTGAGTACAGTGAAGGTGAACGGGGATTTCTCCCTTGAACTTTAAACGGCAAGTAGTGTATATCCTCACGTTTGTGATTGAAGTGATTCTTCATGTTAGTGATCAGTCCACCACATCTAGTATGGATGATCCACCAGATGGCCAGCTAGCATAGCGCGATCCTACCGTCCAAGTGAACGCGATGCTGAACAGCTTAAAGAGAAGGGTTGTCACGGTATACGCTGTGCACCTTTAAGTCGTAAAATGCCGTGGCATGACAAGCGGTAAGGAGGTACCGTCAGAGATTAGCGAGTAAAAACAACTACTGAGCTGTTCAACGGAGGTCATGCGTAGACAGTCACAGAGGAAAGAAAAAGACGGCTTAAACTCAATACAGTTAGCGACCTCCAGTTGATTTTTCCCGGATGTCAACAGAATTATTACTTATTGTATCTGTAGGTGCATTAGAAGTATTTCGTGGATATTACAACAGCACTCAGTTTCATTTCTGATTCTGGACTTTTTCACCATAAATGCTAGTGTTATCTATGTTTAACTTCCATGATCTTGCTATCGTTTTGTGCTCCACAATTGGCCGTCATCATTTTTCATGATGTCAATACAATCACCTTGCGGTTCATGTTCCAAGATTGTAGGAAGTCGAGCAAACGCACTCACATATGTCCTATGTCACGTTAAATTCCATATTTCATGCATTGGTCTACCAGTTGAGTATTTTCGAAGTTTGCGTGAAATCCGAGATGCTTTAATTTAAAACTACGTGCAAGAATTGTCGAAACGAGATACAGCCAAAGAAGATATTCGCTTACAACTAGCTTACCAACTACATGTCATTACCTACAATACCAAATCCTGTGTCTGTGCAGCCTAGTAGCCCCTCTCTTGTATTATCTATTCCTGATGATACGAACATCCGTAAATTTTACATATGGGGTGCACAGGTCTAGGACCGGAGGAAAAAAAAGAAAAAAATCATGATCCGAAATACTATTGATAAACTTTTCTTTACTATTATGAAACGTATCCACTATATAAATGATCGCTCACATTTATGGGGCCGTGTACCGTCTGTCGGTAAATATACAAATTTATTTATTTATAGTGCAGAACCGTAAACCGACTTGTAGGGTGAATCATTCCGTTGAGAGCATCTCCGCGTGTTTGGCTCAACAAGCAAGCCCGAAAGGCCTCCAGATTGCAGATAACCTTTCCAGTTCATCTCATGCAAACTCATCGGCACGAAGTCCCGCAGTTACCAGCAGCCTAGCTACACCTGACGAAAATATTTCAGCTGTGTTATGTTCTAAAGATACAGATACTCCAGTGTGTACTGAAGAAGATTGGAAAGTATAAGAAAAGAAAAGGCAGAACAATGAAAAGAGTTCAGCCCTTTCAAATCGACGATTAACCAGACTACGTAAAACGAGAAAAACTTATCTTGCAAGGTCAACCCTGGCCAACCAGAGGCGTTTTAACCTCATGATGTTCCACGCGCCCGAGTCTAGTGATCCAATTCCCCAGATACGCTACGAGCATTGTCGTTTTTACAGAGCCTAATTGACAGACTCCTCGACGTGGGGGACGGGATGAACGTGAAGCAAATTAGCCGTCTTAGAAAGAAAGATGATCAACAAAGTCGACCAAAGAGAACTAACTTCGTGGACGAAGTCAGTCCGAGGCTTATCTTATCCCGATTAAATAGGCTGAAAGGTCGAAATCTCCATGTTCGAGCAGACTTAGATCCAGCGGATCGAGAACGACTCAAGTCTGTCATCATAGAACTGAAGACACGAAATGGTGATGGGGAAACGAACCACCTTATCGTAAATATTCGGGTCGTTTCCAAAATTCCATGAATCAGGATAAACAGATTGTTCACACCAAGCACGCCCAGTGGTTCCTGCTGCGGCCTGCGTGTAGCCTTTACCAACATTTGTAGTCTTATGAACAAGCGCGATGAACTCTGTCGTTTCGTTGCATCTGAGCGGCCAGACGTAATGGGACTCGCAGAGACGTGGCTGAATGTTGAGGTGATAGCCCAGGAAATCGAACTCAGTGGCTACTCATGCTCCCGTTGCAATAGACTATCGACTGCCCGCGGTGGCGTCTTGCTCCACATCCGGTACCTTGTGTGGGAGAGTTGCGAGCGTCAAAAGAAGCGATGACGGTCTGTGTGAGCTGCTGTGGTGCTCGATCCAAGCCCAGACGCAGGGAGCTGCTGTTGGGTGCATTTTATCGCAGTCCACTGAGCCGGTGTTTGGAGTGGCTATCGCATCTCCGAAGCCACATGAGTCGTCCTCATTTTCCACTCATGGGTGATTTCAATTGTCTGCGGATGTGCTGGCCTGAAGTTGAAGTTATGCTAGGACATTGTAAGGTCGAAACAAATTAGTGGAATTCGTAATTGAAAGTAGAGCAGCGCAACACCTATGCCAGCCGACTCGAATAACGCCGCGCTCAACTAAGTCGTTGCTGTACTTAGTGCTAACAAGCTATGAACGACATGTGTATGACGTTTAGGTAAAGAGCTCCTAGCAGCAAGCGACCACTCAGTGTTCATAGCCATTATGGATCCATCTTTACCATATTCCCGTCTGCTGGAGCCAGCTTATAACTACAGGAAAACTAACTTCGACGGTCTAACTCAAGCCGCGAGTCAAGTAGGCTGGTCTCTGCCCCAAAATGCATCTGTGGAAGACTGTTGGACCGTTAGTACGGAAACACTGACATTACTATGTTCTCAGTTTGCACCAATTAAGTAACGGGAAGTTGGACCAGTCAAGCTCCATTGGTTCGACAAGGAGTATGGTAAAAGAGCTCAGCGGCAGTGCAAATTGTGAGACAAATTCCTCTTCTTCAGCGCTTCCAGTGATTACGAGGATTATAAGAGAGAGCGAAATATTTGCAATAGCGCAAAAACGAGCAAGCGACGGCATTTCGAACAGCAGCTCGCTACCGCTGTAAAGACAGCTCCGAAAAGAATATCTGCTTACATGAAGCGGTGCCTCAAGCCAGCAGATGATCTGCCAGTGCAAGAGGGATCGGACAGACAGCCCCTAACGTCCAGCCCTGAGCGTGCGTCCGGCTTGGTGACGCACTTCGCTTCCGTGTTTGTAAATGAGTAGGTGTCTGTACCGAGTTCGACAGTCTGGTTTGCGGTGCAGCAACTACTCACCAACATTGACGGTACCAAATCTGCTGGCCCTGCCGAACTTCACCCACTGATTCTCAAGCATCTATCGGCCATTATCACACCCGCTGTGACTGACTTGTTCAACAGGCCTCTAGCCGAAGGTTCATTGCCGAGCGAATAGAAATGCTCAGTGGTTAAGCCGATTTCGAAAGACGGTGACTCCAGAAAAGTGGACAACTAGAGGCCGATTTGTTTGACACCTATTTTGGCCAAGATTGCCGAGAAGATCGTGAAGAAGGGTCTACTACAGCCGCTCAAGTCGGAAGATCTAAGGACGCCCGCATAGCACTGTTTTATGCTGGGACGCTCGTGCATTACCGATTTGCTGGTGACGAGGCATGAATGGTTGCAGGCAGTAAAGCAGGGGAAGTCTGTCGATGTAATTGACTTTAATTGCAGTAAAGCGTTCGACAATGTATACCATGAGATCTCCTCAACAAGCTGAGAAGGTTCGGTGTCGGTGGATCACTGTACCAGTGGATCCAGAACTTTATCGTTAAGAGAAAGTGGAGGGTAAAGGCCGACGGTCATCTAACTGACCGCTACCCCACTACTAGTGGAGTACCCCAAGGCACGATGGTGGGGCCCACTTGGTTCATAACCCACATGAACGATCTACCTCAGCTTCTTTGGTCGTCGTGTGCCCTGTTTGCGGACGACCTGAAGAAGTGGATTGGCACCCCAGACGATTGCAACCTACTTCAGCACAACCTCTACCGAATCTATGGAAGTTCCCCTCCCAGTCAACAAATCTAAGTCGGTACTTACGCGCCTGTGGAAGTGGTGATGGCCGCATTTACACTATTAACGGCCCAGTGGCATATTTCACACCTTCCGTCAAGAACCTGGCTGTCCTCTCGCGCTGCGATTTGAAGTCTGCTGACAACACTAACAAACTATACCGTAACGGACTGTGCATGCTTTCGG